CAGATATGGTTGTTCCACCAGCTATCACTCTTGCAGGGCCCCTCACAATCCTGTCTGAAAATGGAAACCCAGTCAGTAGTTTTAGATTTAATGATGGTTACTCTGCTAGCTCCCCTCATCTTCCTTCCTGCTGAGTGCATGGATTTTGTATAGTTTAGTTTTCCCTTTTTATGTTTGTTCAGTGGGGTTCAATGAACTATTGCTAAATGGGGCCTAGGTGACAGGTGCCATTGCCTTTCAGGTTGCTATGTTTGTCTGGAGTCCTAGGCTTTCCAATCAATGCAGAGGTATTATACTTGCAGAGGACAGGAGAAATGCTGGTGTCTCCTTATATTTCCAGATAGCCATTTATGGTCTTTCACAGCTCAGAAACGAGTCCCATAATTCTAATTTTAAGTGATATTTCCAAGTGATATTTCTTCAATAAATATTCCAAAACAATGAGGCTGCATTAGGTGTTTATTCACAAGTTAAGCTTTGAGAATGTCATTGTTAGAGCTTGAAAGATGGCAACATCCATGAGAATTTATTTTGTTTGGCTCATGTCAGAGTCAAAGTACTAAGTGTTGTGCCTGCTCTGGAGGAGGAACAGGTGAGGGTTTGGAGGCTCACAGGGGAACTCCTCCATTTCATCCACACGCCAGCACCACCATAGGAGGGTTCCAAATTGATCCTAAACACTCTTCAGGCTGATCTCCGTGGTGATATTTCTTCTTGGCCAAGCCTTCTCTTCTCACCCCTCTGAACACTTCAGCAGGTACAGTTCATGGTAAATGGGCCCTGCAACCTAGCCTTTCTAGACTGTGCTGTGTCCAAAACTTTAAGTGGCGACTTAAACAGAATAAGGAGGAAACGACGGAAAGTGCTGTGATGGAGGCAGGATGTTTGCTTTCCGGTGCACAAGTTCATTTACAATAACATCCTGTAGCTCATTTCTTGGAAATTGGGTGGATAATAAGAAGCAAAAAAAAAATTGTGCTAATGATACATTTTGGATATACATTAAAATTGCACCTTTGTCCCTTGGTACAAACAGCATTTATCAGTAGTAGGAAAGCACCTAAGGACATCAAACTAAACCCAAAAGGAAGAAATGCAGATAACATCAGAAATTGTGGAAACCAAACTGAAAAATCCCAGAAAAGAGGCAAGTGACTGAATGTTAACAGATGGATCCCACAGCCTCTGAATAGTTTTAGGTTCCTGTTATAAGCAGCCTCTTCTTCTGCCCCCAGGGTCAAGGAAGGGCTAAGAATCCAGGGTTGTCCGAGCAAAGGAATGAGTTTTGGAGGAAGAGGACTAAAAAGTCTTGTCAGATGAGTAAGGAAGGGAGTGGAGGATGTGCTCAGAGTGGCAGAGACTGTGGGAGAGGCACAATTGCTGCCCTGCTTCCTGCCTTTCCTGGCTGTTGGTGCCACATGGTGATGGGCTGGGGTCTGTCACTGTCTGTAACTATACCTGACTCTGATGACCCCGGGCACTCAGAGCATGGGAGCAGAGGCCCGCAGTGATATTGCTCCTTCACACAGACCCTAAAGCCAAGAATCCCACGACTGGTCCCTCCAAGTGGACTTCCATGAGGACCCCTGTTCGCTGTCACAGGTTTATCACTACAACCAACCAACATCTGAGAGGAAGTGTGGGTAAGCAGCCCGGGATCAGGATTCAAACTACTGGGAGAGTCTGAGGACTTGTTCTCATGGGCAAGGCCCACCTATTAGTGTATGGTGTAATTCCTTGGAAGGCATCAGACTGAGATGATCTGACACTTATCTATCTTCTTATCTGTAGAGATTCCAGGCCTCAGAGGGGTTATTATTTTGTCCAAAGCCATAGATGCTGCTAGTGGCAGAACCAGACCCACATAGCTTTCCTGACTGCATTTCACGTGTTAATGGCAGACACTAGTGCTGATGTGCTAATATGACAATCTGCTCCATTGCTCATGGAACAAAACCAGTGTCACTGTGTTAACACAAGGGGACACACTGTCAGACACATTAGCATTGTGTGCTGCCAGCTGAGGAAGGTGGCTCCTGTGTATTTAAATGGACAAATGCTCTTTTTATTTTACTTTGCAAAGAATGAAGCCCTACTCTGTTTTTTAGATGAAACTATTTATACTTTTTAAAATTAGTTGGGGTGACATTGGCTATTAATATTATGTGTATTTCTAGTGTGAAATCCTGTGGTACATTATCTGTATATTACTTGGTGTTCCCACCACCAAAATTCTGGTCTCTTTTCTTCACCATATATTTGATTCCATTTACCCCTTACAAACCTCCATCCTCCTTTCTTCAAGTAACCACCATACTGTTGTCTTTGTCTGTGAGTTTTTGTAAAACTATTTATTCTTTTGTGTGAATCCGTTGTTCTGTGGGAGTGTGAGTGGGCTTCTGCCAATGGGCCTGGGGCATCCTCTCAGGCAGAAGTGGTCTCAGGACCTACTGTGCTCACACCAGCCTGGTAGTCTGCCCACTCCCTTAAGAGTCCAGGAGCCCTTCATTTCCACTTTCTCTCTCAAAAAGAAAGAATTTGGGGGTTTGTTTTGGTGCTGCATATATTACTGACAACCACTAAATTCTTTAGTAAAAGGCCTGAGTTCAATAACTGTAAAAGTAATGAAAATAGGGTGGAGCTGATTATAGGGCCTGGGAAACTTGGACAGTGAGGCATTGCTGAGAGACAGGGTCAGGCAGAGTTTAAATGTCTTTCTGAGAAAGCCAGCACTTCACTCATCAGCAGCCTCTGTGGTCCACCTGGGCCAGATGTGCAGTGGCGGTGGGAAAGACTATTCTAGTAAACAGCTCATGCAGCATAAGGGAAAATCTCTGGGATGCTGAGTGGATGGAACATGAAGAAGGCAGGAGAAAAGGTGGAGGAAGGAGAAAGGTGTTGTGTGAGATTCCTAGGGCTGATGTAACACAGTAACCCTAACTGTGTAGCTTAAAGCCACAGAAACGTATGGTCCCATAGTTCTAGGGCTCCAGCATCAAAAGGTTGGCAGAGCCACTCTCTCTCTCTGAAGGTGCTGGGGAGGATCTTTGCTGGGTTCTGCTCCTTGTGGCTGCTGGCAACCCTTGGAGGTCCTTGGCTTATAGATGCATTGCTCTCATTTCTTGACTGTTGCATTTTACAAGGAGAAACCAGGCTATACCTCCCAAACTGTCTTTGGAAACGCAAGTGTATTGCTTTCAAGCTCTTCTTTCCACCCAGTAGTGGAACATAACTCAGAGACTTCTCTCCCACATTGTATCAAGTATCACGTTTCTTCCAGTGTCCAACACCATGGTCCTCACTTTGAACTGAGATCTCACCTTTAATATTCAAATTTCTAAACAATGACCCTATGAAGTCAATACTTCATTTTAAAGATCAGAAAGGGAGTAACAAAGAGGTTAACCTATCCACATGTGGTAGGCTGAAAATCACACCCCCCAACCCCATATAAGCATTCCTAATCCTCAGAACATATAAATGTTTCCTCGTTGCAGAAGTGACGAAGTTAATGATTTTGAGATGGGATATTGTCTTGGATTATCTGAGTGAGTCCTACATGTAATCGCAAAGGCCCTCAGAAGAGGGAGGAAAGACCAAAGGAGGAAGAAGGCAATGTGATGATGGCAGCAGAGATTGGAGTGATGTGATCACAAAACAAGGGATTCTGGAAGCTTTTAGAAGCTGGAAGAGGCAAGCGATGGATTCTCTCCTAGAGAACCTTCAGCCCTGAGGATATCTTCATTTTATCTGCATATGACTAATTTCTGGCTCCTGACCTCCAGAACTCTAAGAAAATTAATTTCCATTGTCTCAGGACTCTAAATTTTTGGTAATTTGTTATGGCAGCAATAGGCAACTGATATACCAAGTTAATTATTCATTATGGAAGTGTCAGGACAGTTCAAGAAACAATTCCTTTCACCTCCTGTTATTATTTTTGCAAAGTTGTAATAATTTTGAGCTTTGAATTTATCTAGAACATAGCAGCATACAAAGACTTGAACTCCACAAGGCAGACTCTGATAGAAGTTAAAGAAATGTATTTTAATAACCCCAACATTTTTTTTTTAAATCCACATATTTCCACATGGACATACGTGTCTATGATGGAAAGCATAAAGGGAGAAAAATAAGAAGAATAAAATGTAAAATAGGAAGCCATGTCTTTCTCTACATTCATCTCTTTGCTTCTAACTATGTGGAAGGAGCAGCATCCTGGGAGGGGAGGAGCCTGCAATCGGCGGTCTGGGGGTCTCCTGCGAGGGGGGAGAGCACCTTCCTGGACTTGCAGGTGGGGACCCACAGCAGAGAGACAGGTGGCTCACAGCAGAGCTGGGTGTGGAAAGGAGCTCCTAAGGATGAGAAGCACAGCCAAGTGAACAGCACAGGAAACATGAGGCAAAATTCCTTCTATCAAAAGACTCCTAGCGGGAGGTCAGTCCTAAGTGAGGGTTCAGGGGTGGGAGCCATGCTCCAGATGCTCCTCCATGGTCAAGGACCTCAGGGCTAGAACCATTCAAGACCCACATTCTGTTCCCTATAGCATCTATGAATTCTATTTCAACCACATCCCTCTTCCCTTTTGGGAACCTATGAGTGTGCTCGGAGGAGCAATTACTTGTCCAAGAAAACATAAAAGGCAGCTTCTGGCAGGGCAAGTTTCATTCAGGGAATATAGAGAATGAAGTGAACTGGGGCAGTGGTGGAAGCATTTTTAGCACGAAGTGCAGTTCTGGCTCTGCTCTGGACTCATATATATGCAGCCTGTCAAGGTGAGCTTCATGGATGTGTGACTTGTAGGTTTGCTCAAGGATCTGTGCTTAGAGGGTTTAAAGCTCTGTAATGTCATCTTCAAATTCTTCATGATTTTTAAACAATGGGCTTGGTATTTTCTTGTGCCAGACCTTATGAATTATATAACTGGTCCTGATCTGTGTCTTTATTGGAAATAGAAAAACTGTTACCTGGGTTCCTTCAAGGTGAGCAAAGTCATTCATACCAATAATTGGGGTGGAGGCAACCCCCGGCTGGGCGGAGTGTGGAGCTCACCGCGTTCCCGGGTACCTTCGTCCGTGATACAGCAGTGCAGCCATGGCAGAGCCGCAGCCCGCGTCGGGCGGCCTTACCGACCAGGCTGCCCTCGGTTGTTGCTCGGACCCGGACCCCAGCACCAAGGATTTTCTGTTGCAGCAGGCCATGCTACGAATTAAGGATCCTAAGAAGTTTTTGTATTTTTATACTAGAGGTCTTGGAATGACGCTACTCCAAAAATTAGGTTTTCCCACCATGAAATTTTCACTCTATTTCTTGGCTTATGAGGATAAAAATGACATCCCAAAAGATAAAGATGAAAAGGTAGCATGGGTGTTCTCCAGAAAAGCTACACTTGAACTGACACACAGTTGGGGCAGTGAGGAGGATGAGACCCAGAGTTACCACAGCGGCAAATCAGACCCTCGAGGGTTTGGTCACATCAGAATTGCAGTTCCTGATGTACACGGTGCTTGCAAAAGATTTGAAGAACTGGGAGTCAAATTTGTGAAGAAGCCTGACGATGGTAAAATGAAAGGCCTGGCATTTATTCAAGATCCTGATGGCTACTGGATTGAAATTTTGAATCCTAACAAAATGATAACTATTATTTAGGTCTGTGAGAATACTGCTTTGAGATGTCCATAAAGATACTGTGGGAGTTAAAAAAGAGAGACAGGGAGTTTGGATATATTCCGATAACAGAAGCATCGAGGACTGATGGTTCATTGTCTCAATTCAAATTATTCTTAAGTGCATTTCCCTTCCTGTGTCAGCTGTGCTTTTCACCGACCTGATCAGTCCCTCTAGTTTTAAAGTAGTGCTTTGCCTTGTGTCCTTGAATGTGGCTGTGTAACATTAGTTTTTTAGGTAATAATTAGAACAGTTCCCTTCAGAGGTTGCATTTGCCTTTTCCCTCCTAACCTGACTTCTCTACACGTCTACCTTTCAATCATCATTTAAAAACACACACATTTAACATGTTTCCTTCTGGGGTTTCAGTCCTCAGAAATAACGTTTCACAGTGGAAAGTAAAGAGCCCTGAACAAAAACAAAACTTTCTGTGCACTTCAAATAGTATAAAGTGTTTATTTTACAAGAGAGAAGGCACTTTTGGGAGGAACTCAGAATCATGCTGAGGAGGATGCTGACAGAAAGACTAATTTCTTCTTATGTATAAAGTGCTTTTGAAGTTCAAGGACTAACCTCTTTATTTCGGGGATTGGGAGAAGGGTGGGAATATTTTTCCTGGGTTCACAAACACCAGATTAGGCTGTCAACATGCTTTATCTTGTTTAATCCTCCCAACTATCCTGTGAGAAAGAACACAGGGTAGACATGTAAAATAACTCTCATTAATGGAAGGCAATACAAATAGGCACGAGTACTCAAAATTCCTTCATTATTTTTAGCATTCAGATGTACCTCATAAATGAGTACCTCACAGGATGTCCCCGCTAGCCTCCTGTTGTAAAACCTTCAGTGACTTAGCCTTATCCTCTCAGCTCTCGGCCTGAGAACCGCGGTGAGGGAGGGGGCAGTGGAGGAAGGAAGTCTGTAGCCCTCACCTGCTCTGGGGGTGCCCGGTTGTTCTTGTGTGAGTGGTGCTTGTGTTACCTGTGAAGAGCCCTACACTAAGGTCTTTCAGATGCCGGTCGTCATTTAGGATAAATTATGACCAGTGATAACTTAGGTATCAGAAATCAGCTCAGTGGTCTTCTCTGCCATGATTGACATTTTATTTATTTTTAAAAAAACAAACTGATTTAAAAAAAATCTCTTAAGGCCCAGAGAATAAGAGCATCCAATTTGTTTAACTACATTTAGGTTTTCTATAGACTGTGGTGGAAGATCTTTGGGTAGGCCATGCCAACTGTGCTTATACTGCTAGAAGCACTTGACATTTCCTTTCTGGATGGAATGGATTTATGTGAGCAACTCAAACAAATGGCCATACTTATAGACTGAAATAAAATAAGCATTTAAATAAAAAAAATACCAATAATTGGTCCAATAATATGGGCATTTACAACACCATTTCCAAATCTGTCTGCTTCCCTCCATGGGTAGCAACCCTATTGTGCTCTACTTCGTGCCACATCTGGTCTTCTTAGTACCTATACTCAAGCTTAAGCATTGACTAACCCACTTTCTCAATCTAGTGAAGTAAAATGTGTAATCAAAATTTAATCTTTTTGTGGTGATGCAACAGAGAACTAGAACATCTTGTCAACCATGAGAGAGTCAACAGCCTCTCTCCCAGCTGAAAACAATTCCCAGCTTTTGGATCCATCCACCGGTAAGTCTAGGATTAGCTGCCTCTGTCTGGGCCTGGAGAGGGAGAAGGTAGGAAGGCTGGGAGAGAAGGAAGCATCTACTCCCAGGATGCATCTTTATATGTCATGCAATGTAGACTTTCAATCATGCAAGAACCATATGACAAAACAAACAAATAAACAAACAAACAAAAACAGAGAGACTGTGATCATTGGAAGACTTTCTCCAGGCCTCTCCTTCCTCGTTTCCACTTGGCTCCCAATGGTTTATACCCCTTTGGCTTTGTAACTGAGTTTTGTTAATTTCTGAATGAGTAACTTGAGACGCTCCTAAAAGAATAGACTCAAAACCCATATTGTACCATCACCAGCAAGACCCAAGGATACACCAAGTCCTATGTCCAACTTTCTTCTTCCAGAATGACCCTGCAGTCTCCCAATGCACCAGGGAAGGTGATAGACACTGTGTCTGGCTTTTTGGGGGCAAGATTTATGTCATTTAATAAGGACCTTTGGATCCACTACTATAACCCCAAACACCAAATATAGCTTTAGTAATTTTGGTACAAGAGCAAGCACATGGAAGAAAAGGTTTCAACTTGGCAAAATGAAAGCATCCACCAATTTAGGGGAAATATTACTGTCTCTTTAAAGGCAAACAGTTCTTCCACAGGCTCCACCCAATCTATGCTTCCTGGCTCAGTGGTTTAAGAGGCTGTGAACTCTTTTTCTTCACAGTTAAAACAAAAGCACCAGCTGGAAGAGTGTCTTTGGAGAACATTTGAGAACTCATCAACTGGTTGAAAAGAAGGTGAGTCTGGCTGAGAAGCAGCCCTGAGCACTAGAGTTGTTTGGGCAGTAGGTCCATGCAGTGTTCATGGTGTGGGTTCTGGTCCCAGGAAGAACCAGGTTCTGTGCCAGAAGCAGAGAGGGGGTGTAGGGGTGGGGGGAGGAGGGTGCTGTCAGAGGGTAGTGAAGGAGGGTAGGGAGGGGAGTCAGGAGCTTTATTAGTACAACTAGAAGCCTGATCCATGAAATTCGTGCAAGGGGCTTGGCCAACACAGCCCTGACAACCTGCCTCTGCTGGCACTTGCAGCCCGGGCTTCTTCTGGAAGGACGCCCAGAAGGTTGTTTCGTCTAATTAGCATATTATGCTTTTATTATTATAGTTGTTACATGTCTCATATTGAACAGGATACTTTTGTGCTGACTGGTGCACCTTCATGCATTTGCTGCGCTGATACACACTGAGGGCTGCCTGACAAGCCTTCCTTTTCCCTGGACAAGAAATGAGTGTCCCCAAGGCAGGCCTTTAGAGCTTGAAGGCAATGTCGACACCACCCTGTCTAACTCCCCCTTTTTACTGAAAAAGAAGCAGAGTCCCAGAGAGTGTGGTAACTCTAGGTGTTGCTCACATCACTAAGGCCAGAGGAAATCTGCACTGCCGTTTGCTGAATCCTTTTCATCATTCAGTAGAGAGAAGCTCTAACCTGAGTAAGTGTGACATGTGAGGTAAGGCGGGGGTGTCATGAGTAGAGCATGACTATTCTGCAGGAACAATGTATATGAAACCCTCCACTTAATGGCCCTAGTTGCAGGCTTCCTAAAAGTGTTCTGTCTGGAAAGAGTGTGGACTCTCCTCCCTGCCCTCTCTTGATCTAGCTCTGATTCCATGTAATTTTAGAATCCTGGGTCTGAGAAGACACTGAGAGGAGGCAGATGTGTGCAGTGGTTAGGAGGGAAGGTGGTGGTCAGACAGACTTTGAATTTGATGCCCTGCTCTTCCCTATACCTGTTAGCACCTTGGGCAAGTGTCTCAGCATTTTCAAGCCACATCAATGTCTTTATTTTAAAAGTTAGAAGAATAAAATTAGCTTTTTGCAGGCTATTATGGGGGAGTAGGTGAGATAATGTATAAAAAAATTATTAGGGTGCTTGGTATAGAGTGTCAGCCGTGGTTATATTACACACATATCAAATTTTTATTGTTAAAAAATGTTAATTTACTCAAAGATAAACAAACAATACAAGGAAATTCCATGTACCTAGACCAGTGATGGTGAACCTATGACATGCAAACTCATTTTTTTGGTTGATTTTTCTTTGTTAAATGGCATTTAAATATATAAAATAAATATCAAAATTTAAATCTTTGTTTTACTATGGTTGTAAATATCAAAAAATTTCTATATGTGACACAGCACCAAAGTTGTTAGAGTTTTTCAAAATGCTGACACGCCGAGCTCAAAAGGTTCGCCATCACTGACCTAGACCAAGCTTCCACAATTATTAAGTGATTCCAATCTTGTTTCATCTATATACTGACCACTCCCCAGCCACCCCGCATTATTTTGTTTCATTTTATCAGTAAATATTTTAAATCATTAAAAAATATGACCATAATCAGACTTCAAAAGCAAATAGGATTTTTTACAGGTACCAGTTGAGATTGTCTCATAATTTTAAAAAACTGTTTGAAGTTGGATCCAACTAAGATTCATAAATTGCAATTATTTGGTTTCTCTTATGTTTAATTTAATATATAGCTTTCTCACCTTCCCTGTTTCTTTCTGGAAAAATTTTCTGTGTAAGAAGGAGGAGTCTTTTTCCCAAAAGAACTGGGCAGTTTACATTTTGTTGATAAACATTCTCACATGTCATTTCACCTACTCTTCTAGTCCAGTGTTTTGGGTGAAGTTATATTTAAGGGGAGGCTTGATTGACTCAGGTTTGACTATTTGGTGGGAATACATCGTAGGTTCAGCTGAAACTTCCCTCAGAAGGCATATAATGTTTAGTTGTCTCACTTTCTTTGACAGTAATTGACATTAATGATGGCCTAAGTTTCATTATGGGTCAGAAGTGATTGTTAGGTCTCCAAAGGAGGAATGCAGGTGGCCAGAGTGCTGAGGGATTATGAATTTATTGGATCATCCACACATGAGGTGGCTGAGCCTGGATGGCTCCAAGCCCCAGTGGCTGGAGTCAGTGGCTTTTAAAGGATTTTTGGAAGGCTTTTTCTAGATGGAGACTTCTTTATGCATACCGGGAAGGGAGATAATGGAATGTGGTCACCACAAGTGAAATGTGGTCTCAGCAAAGGGAATGTCCATAGTGACATAGCCTGAAAAGCCAGTTCCCAGAGAAGGGGTAGTGATTCAATTACTCAATCAAACCTAACAGTGATGATATCAAATTCTATCATTCTTCCCTTAGTTATTAGATGGAAAAATTGTATAAAGAGAAAGTTCCCACCAACCATTCTCTCATTTCCATGAAGTACAGTGGTATCTGAAAGACAAGATAAATGCTCAATTTTTTCCCTTTATTTGTCAACATTCATAACAAGAAGATGCTTTCCTAGCACACTCCCAAGGGAGCGATTGATTATTTTAAGCAGAAGGCCTTGTTTTGAACTCGTGTATTTTAAGATATCTGAGATACTGTATTTTGATTCATTGGAGTTATTATCGATGCTCACACTGTCCCATCAATGTCCAGTTGCATTCTCTTGAGGTTGGCTCTTAAGTCCTTTCCATGAGATCCCAGTGATTTT